TTTAAAAAGCATGTCTTGACAACTACACTTGAAAAGCAAAACACTATTAGAATTTACTGGAATTCAAGTTGTTCATACAACTGCTGATGCCATCCTAGGGTGTTACATTTAGCTGAGAGACCCTGGTATTACTGTTGTGTGGTAAAGCATTTAACAGATGGCAAATCAAACTCTTAGCCTTTCTGTAACTGAACAGAAAAGTAAACTAGATACTGGGAAACAAAATCAAACCTTTCTGATAAATACGTATTTTCTTTGCTAATATGTTGGAGGGTTTTTTTCCAACACTAACATAGGACAAGAACAGTAGGTAAGTTGGCGTTGGTTTTACCCAGATGAGAACTACTTCCACTCTGTTTGTCTAGTTTAAGAATGACCACAGTAGATGAGACGAAATGTCTATCCAACCCAATACCCTATCTGTGGCAGTGGCCAACATAGCATGTCAAAGAAACAGTTGAGCAAGCACAAAGTGATAACTCTGAAGAGTACCCTCCTATACTCCACAAATATGTGGCTCAGAGAATCCTGATGTGATGCCTTTGGGTTCACTATCTCTATGGCTTTGCTGTTGTTATTGTTGTTTTTGTTGTTGTTATTAAGTTAAAAGGGCATAATGGATCATGGTTGCAGTCAGTATGGAGAAGAAGCAAACTTAAAATAGAAGTTAAAAGGCCTTGAAGACTGACCAGTATCATTCTCTTCATGACTTTCTGTTGCAGCTCAGCTGTTGCCAGCAGGTGAGCTTCCTCTTCATTGCCCCTTTTCTTTTTGCCCTTTGCTGTTGCTGCTACTGGACTACAAGTGTGACAGCTTCCTCTTAGAGAAGCCAAAGGGAGATGGAAAGTAGAGCACTGACTGGGAGAGAGGGGAGAGGAAGAAAGTGGGACTTGGGGATCATAAAGAGAAAATATCTTAAAGAAAGTGGGGATCATAAAGAAAGAATGAATGAGGAGACAGAATGCAGAGAGGTGTCAGAGGGAAGTGGGTACGTATGGATGACTGAGGAAGCTGAGAATGTGTGAGGTAGTAAGTGAAAAAATGAATGGGAAAATATAACTATTTGTACCTCCAGATCCTGGAGGTAAGCTGAATTAAACACAACTAAAGATACTGGCTAGCCTTTGTGACTGAAAGAGTTAACTTGGTATAAAGAATTCTTTTCTGTACTGTTCTGGGCAAGCCATGGAAAGGACGTCATGCTTCTGAATTTTATTTGCCTTGGAGGTGGTGCGCGGACATCCTTGTATCTCAGTCTCCTTTAAATGACATTGCTTGCTGGAGTTTAAGAAAAGTTTCTGTACCTAGTCAGCTTTGATCCCTCCCCTTTGTCTGATGACTACTGTTCTCTCATAGTGTTCATCACTATGAATACTGTTCTAAAACTAGCAGAGCAAGGGCCACACTATTGCAGAAATAACTAGCAAAATCCCAGTTTCAAGCAGTTGTCTCTTTCCTTTAAGCTTCAGAAATAGCATAGGTAACCTTAGATGCCTATTGCTGTTCTCTCTCTCCTCATTTCCGTGTCTTTATACTACCTTTTATCTCTAAGAATTCTCACATTTCATGTTTGTACAGCACAGTAGAGAGTAATTCTATGCCTCTCTACTACAAGCACCACGATGGCTTAATAAATATCTAGATAATAATAGGACAATGCAGAGAGATGTAACCAAAATGAAACTCTAAGCTAGTTTGGCAAAGCATGTATGTGCATATTGCAAAGAATTGATTCAGACGATAGTATATTATAGTGCCTAGCACAGGAAAATCCTGGTCCATGTGAGTGGGGTTCTTAGCTGTTAGGGTAACATTAATGCCAAAGCAAGCGTTTGGTATATTCTGAAATGCATATGCTCTTAAACTACCTTTCTGAATAAGTATATGGAATGGAACTGGGCATTGAGTGGAATCTGACTTTACAGACATAAATAATCCCAGTTGTGCCAACACAGCTATTCATGAGTTTAGAGTTTCATAAATTCTCAAGAATGTTGCTGAATTGACAGCTAAGAACCAGTACCCTACAACCTCAAAATGGAAATGTTCTTAATGAAATGCAATCAGAAAACTGGAAAAAAACAACAGACGGGGGAGGGGGAGGGGGGGAAATCAGAGGGAGAGACAGTAGACAGACATTTCCTTGCTACTCATTCCCTCCTATAAAGGAATGTTACTCCTGCTGCTGCATGAATTTTACAGAAATATTTCAACCAAAACTCTCAGTCCTTGTTCTGTGTTCCTGTAGCCTTCACATAGATTCCAAACAGTGTGTCTTGATTACTTATATCGATCTTTTCATCAGAGAGTACATTTTTAATGAGGATTTACTTTATCTACCAGCAATTATTTTACAAGGCTCTGATCTGTCAGCATGTGTATTGTGTTGGGGTAGAGCCAAGACCACACCTCAAGGACATTATTAGGCATAATGTTGAAGGTAATACAACTCATCCACAATGGCAGTCTCTGTCTGACTGTTTGCTCTGTATGGATTCAGTTTGTGTGACGCCTGTTAAATATCTAAGCCTTTGTCAAAATGAATAAGAGATTTATTATCAGGGATAAAATGACAACTACTCTCAACCTTTGTAGAACTCAAGCGCAAAGCAGTTTTTCCAGTTAGAAGGAGGACTTTGTCCACTACCAGCAACTAATGGTGTCACACGCATGGGTAGAAGTGGAGGACCTTGAAACAACCTACCACGAAACCAGATTCAGTAAAACAAGCAATCATCACCACCCCAAACACACCAATGTTAATACCAGAGGGACCAATCTTTTCTGCTGGGAACAATCCCTCAAGACCTAGGAGCTTTGCTGGGATATGCTTACAGGTAAAATACTGACTGCTTGTTTGGCATTTGTCTACATGGTTGTTGCATATGTATGTATCTTACATGCAGTGTGGCGACATGTAAATATAACACTACAGTATGCTCTATTTGAAGTTAAAAAACAATGTTGCATCAGTACAGCTAGTGGGAGTGAGTCCTACAAGTCCTTTCTACATCTAGAAACATATATATATTACAGTAATACTATTACATTCTAATTATTTAGAATGTCTACAGTGGAATAGAAGTACATGGAGAAAGCAAGCCTTTAAACATATTGTTAAAAAAATGCAGGATTTTTCTTCAAGTGTCAATGATGCAAATGTTTTCCTGAAGCTGATTGTGGGCCAAATTCTGTCCTGACTGTGCAAATCTAGTCCTCCTGGATTTGGCTGAATGGGCTAGGAGAGTACGATTTGGCTGGATTTTACCACTTCCTTAGGTTGACTTATCCAAGAAATAACTCTCTGATGGCAAAATATTTAGTAACCTTTGTTTGAAGCTGACTGAAGGGCTTCTGTGCCAAAAAGCTTGCCTAATTTTTCTAATTATGCCAGCTCAGCCAATACAAAATTATCTCTACCTACAAACCTTATATTACCTATCACCTTCATTTGAGAGAGGAGGCAGCTGGATAGACTTTGGAGAAATAATGGTACAAGTAGGTCCGGACTGATTACTGAAAATAAGAGGAATGAATTTGATTGAAATAGCAAACAACAATAGACAACAAATCAGGACTTTCCCTGTAGATCCTTTCCCCTTTGGGATCCTTGTGCACTAACCACAGAAAGTATCTTAACGTGAGAGTTCATATATATATACATATGTGTGTGTGTGTGTATATATATCTCTCTCTCTCTCAACGCAGATTGCCTAAGACAGCTGAAATATCTGAGTCACATCCAAGATGACACACAGCTTTTTGGGAGAAAGGAATGAAATAACCTCAAGCAAAACACTCAGTTTGCTATTGTATTGCACAAAAGCTTAAATTCGACAAGATAGACCAATGATCTTCTATGCAACTGCTCAGAGGTGAATAAATCAAATGCACAGCTGTGAAACTTCCTGTGTGATTCTGAAAGTAGGTAGCTGTATTTCTTGAAGACTAATAACATAGTTTCTTCAGAAAAGGGAAAGCTTATGTATCTATCTCATTTAAAGTATAAATGTACATTATTATTTAGAAAAATAATATGCTTAAAATCAGTATTTTGAAACTTTAAGAAAATACATACATCAGTAAACAGAATGAAAGTCAGTAGCCTATATCATGAAACAGAAGAAATGCAATATAATCATCAGTACAAATATGCATTAAGTTGCATGATACAATGGATATTAAGAATGAAACAAAGAATAAATAACAAGACAGATATAGCCTTAAGAAATATAAGGAAAGATAGAATTGCTTTTTTAGTAAGGTGGCAAACAGGCTGCCCTTGCATACATTTTGCTGTTTCTTTGTAAGCAACCTGTTTGATCTTGATCTACTTCTGCCATCAAGATACCTGAGTTCACTGGTATGACACATCAGATTCTCAGCAGTGCCAGAAAACAGTTTGGCACACCTTACGGAGAGGAATATGTACAGCTTTGAGTCTTTCCTATGTTGTCCCGACTCAGTCCATTGCCTGAAGGCCCTGTGAACAGAGCAGAAATGTGCACCAGGCAGAGATAGCGAAGTATCTGCTAAGGCACACAGATGGCTGTAAAATGCAGTACCTATGCAACTTTGTTGTGCCAGACAACCAGGATCAACCACCAAAACTTGCTGATAAAAACAAAGAGTTTGGGAAAAGGACATACTTTTAAAAAAACAGCTGGAGACATTTTTCTCTCTCTTATCTTTTAACCTGTAAAGAAGCTAAAACCGTATCAAATCCCAGTGACGTTAGAAAGTGGACTTCATGGAGAATGGTGGGGTAGCTTGCTTTGTTCACCTGCCATGATGCATGCTTTGCCACAGAGGATATAGGAGGGAGCCATGGCATTGCCATGCCCTGGCTGCAGGGACTGAGGGAGGCTGGCCCTGGGGCTGCAGCAGGGCCAGGGCAGCCCTACTGGGGCCTGGGGTGTATTGGGGGGCAGTTTGCCACCAGTGCTTTTCCACCCTTTACACATAATCATGTGTAACATGAGTATGAGTTAACAGGTTACCTTGCTGAGGCAGATTAGCTTGTGCTCCACCAAGACATTTTGGAGTAGAAAGTCTGATTTTTGTTTGTGGTGCCTGCTTGCACAAGGGGATGGGGTTGTTCTGCCCCAAATTCCTGTCAGAAGAAAAAAAAAAGGGAAAAAAAAAAAAAGAAAGAAAAAAGAAGGAAAAAAGTAAAGGGGGAAAAAAAAGTCCCAGGCCTTTCAGGAAAACTTGTCAAGTCCTCTCAGAACAGGTTTTCCGAAGAGGTTAGAGTACCATGCTGCAGGTACATACCTTGCTGCCTTTCTCCTGAAGAAGTTGTGATGATGGTGAATTGCCATCCCTGGAGCTGCAGGCACCCTGCGTGTGTGGTACGGGGTGCTGCCTGGGTGGTGCCAGTCACCCCTCTGTCCAGGGGCCTGTGCTGAAGAAACTATGCCCGGCAGCCCCTGCGAAGGGCTGCACTTTCTCTGGAAGGCAACACCTTGCGTTCAGACAGATATCATCAGCCCCAGTGGCTTTACCCAGCCTCGATGACAGCCAGGGAGCGTGGCATACCTAAGGAGGCCACCTTAGCTGCCAGCTACCCAGGAGCAAGGTGTTTCCTGCTGCTGCCACCCGACATTCTGCAGTGGCCCTGTAAGTTTAAGATGGCGTACCTGAAGGCCACCTGGGGAAGGGGGTCCTCTCTCTGTTGTATTTCTCAATATTTCTCAGGAGGACACTCCTGGATCTCAGTGAATTTTGGGTTAGGCCCTGGGAAGGACACAACCTCCTTCTGCCCAGCTCTTCACAGCTCCTGTACTGCCACCTTTTTGCAGCATTACCTTCAATGTTTTGTGACAGCCATGGTGGTGTTTTGAGTTGGAAAAGCTCTCTGAAGGCAGTCAGTGGTTGTTTCTCTCCTCCCTTCAGAAATGCTCTTACATCATGGATGACCAGGTTGTGGCACATTCAGATAAATTTGTTTCATCCTGTACTGTTTACTCTGAGCCCTTGTAAAAGGAGTTTTCAGAGTATGTGGGGCACAGTGTGGTTTGATTTTTTTTATTATTTAATGGCATTTGTGACTAAATTATGTATGAGAAATTATTTGTAATGCATTGCATTAATTCTATCTTTGATATAAGCTTTTAAAAAACACAGTTTCCAGGATTGAAGGAATTTGCTACCAGGAGGCTTTATTATGGGCAGTTTCCGAATGCCTAGTTTGGCCATGTCGCCAGATCAGATTAATCTCAAATCACTTAAAGGGAATTGACAACTTGAAAAAATAAACCTGCCTTTAGAAAGATGGCCCCTTTTTTATCATTGCTACCATAATTGCAAGAAAGATCATAATCCTCATGCTCTGCTTTGTGTTTGATTCCCAGCATACAAAGGCCTGATGCTCCTGTCACATGTGCAAGACAAATCATGGAATAACATCAGTGTGACCATACCACAATGAGTGAACCAAGGTAGGAGAAAGTCTCTGTCTCTTTCTGGTAACTTTTGTCTATTTATTTATTTCTAACCCTTGTGTGTTCCTCACAGGTGCTTCCTCAATTGGGTAAAAGTGAGGTGTGCTTGCTGAGTGTGTTGGTTTTGCGTGGCAAGGTT